TGTCACTTCGTTTGAGACCTTCGAATCGACCCCCTGCTGACCAGCGTCTTGTGAAAGATCTGTGGGAAACAGTGCGGCGAACGCAGTAGGGTTTCCCAGCGTGAAGAAGGGAGGTGAGAAAGCATTTGATTTTGTTTTGTGATTTGAAAAAGCGAAGCTGTTACAAGTTACCATCGACCGTGAGAAAAGCCAGTACTTTCGTCTGTCAGTTTTCCTAGATGTTATCAGGGGAAGAAGCTGGCGACATAAGCTTGAGAATTGAACAATTCCAAGAGGAGAGTTGAGGTTCCATTGACTATGATATGGCTTCATATCGACCGTACCCTTTCGTCTCATGCAAACATTTTCATTTTTTTTAAATTTTTTGTCACTTCAAAAAAAGGTGCTGGACGCCTACAAAAATATCGCGCTCTCTCTCCCGTTCAAATTCTCGGCTATTGTTGTAGGCTTCTATCGATTCAAAAAATAAGACGATTCAAAAGTAATCGTTTTTATAGCTGGCAATCTCTAGCAATGTCGTAATGAAGGGCGATAAACATAAGTGCAGTGCACTTCTTCTTTGAAGACTTCGATCAATACAGTTGTAATTTTAGCAGCAGGTAGGAGAAACCGACATTACATAGGGTATTGAATAGGCTACGTGACAATTAAGACTGTGCCATTAGGTCCGAATTTTAATTTGAAGTAGACCATCAATTTTTCAAGTTTTATTTCAATAGAACTAGTAGGGATTTTTGCAGCGAAACTTATGGCGAAACTTGCCTATTATTCCTACAGTCCCTTCATCCTAGCGTTCATTGAAGAGCATCAACGAATTCGAACATAGGTCATAATGTAAGAGTCATGAGGTGTGTTATCTAAAGAATTTGGGGGTCATTCGGGGGCGGGGTTCTATGCAGAGGCCAGACATTTTGCTGATTGTTTCAGTTCTTACTACGTTTCCTCTTATCGACTCTGTTAATTTATTTTAGACGGAAATCAGCCAGAATTTCTATTTTTTTTTCAAGCTGACGGCGCACTAAAGGCTTTCAGCAGTTTTAGAGAGTTCCGTAACAATGATGGTCCTTCTACGAGAATCGTTTCAGACTTTAGCTTTTATTCTGCTATGCATTAGCTATGGAGCACTTCATGTATGATAAGATTCGTTCTTTTTGGATTGAACCACAAAGTGATACTGCTAGATTTGTGGTATTGGGTGATTTATTATTGCAGATTTCTTCGACAAATTTCATTCAGCGGAAACGAAAAAAAATGACAAAAACATGTTTAAATGACTACTCCGGACCGTAGTTACCATACTTCACGAATGCTTCCCACTTGCATGGCAGTCGGTCGATTCCACGGGTGAAGTCACGATTCTTGGAGACGATCCTTGCTCTAACATCGGCCTTCAAGTAATCCAGCTCGTCGTAAATCTTGTTAGTTGACCAGTTTTTCAACGACTGGTGTAATTGGTAGTCTGTAGGAGCTTCGGTCTGTAAAAACGGCGTTTTGAACCTCTTGAACCATATTTCAACTTGGCTTTTGCCGATTGTCTCATCGCCGAAAAGATCGTTGATCACGAAATAACCCTGCCGCCTTTCAATCTTCCTCGCAGTGGCAGAGCACGTGTGGCGAATATGAAGGTTATTTTCGATAAGCATTCTTGTTGTAGAAACAGAGGAGAATATTTCCATGAAAAAATAATAAACAAAACAAACCAATCTTATCGAAAAAAAGAAGGCGCAAAAAAATCCGCAATAATCATACCCAATACAAATGCTAGAGAAGTGACGCCATACTTGCAGCACCTAGGCGATAAACTCCGAACTCATGTTATTCCTTCTTTAAACGTCCACCACGTTCATCAACTAAATCTGTATTCATCTGACAGGATTAAATTAAATCGATCATCCCTTGGCTCCGTATGTTATAGTAGACACTTGTAGGAGCATTCATGTATTAGTAGTAGCGTGTGGCACGAGAGATTGGGTAATGCTGGGCGTAACCATTGGCTTTTTGGTCGCATCGGCAAATGAACTTGGAATGGGAACAATGAAAAAGGATCAAAAGAGCAAAAAAGCAGAAGATGAGCCAGGCGCTACTGGTCGTTTGTGTTCGATTGCAAGGCAAAAGGTAGAAATTTCGAGAAGTACGGGTTTTAGAGAAATATCACAACAATTTGTAGAAGTACCGATCAAAATTTGCAGTTGGGCTAAAATGACAAACACCTGATGTCTTGTCTCACTAAGTGGAGCGTTCATCTGATTGGCCGAATCATTTGAGTCAACTTCCCAAAAAGTCGCCGGCTCCAGAGTATTAAAGGCGGGTTCTACGATAAGGTCAAAATCTAGGAAGAGGAAGCCTACTTAGTGGAAATGCAGGCGAATCCAGTAAGGATGCGGACCAATACGCAACTCGCAGCGAAGGATATACCCCAGCAATTTATTACCACACCACTCCCGCGCCGCTGTCGACGCGGCACGCCCACCGACTGGCTAATCACTTGCTGCAGTTTTCTAGCCATCTAGCAGAAAGAGAGAGCTTTTGCGTTAAATAGAGCAACACCGATGAGAGTCATATAAATGGGGAAACAGCCACCAAAGAAGAGGTCCCATTTCGAGTTCTCAGCCGTTTTCCATAATTTTTATCTTCATCCTGGCACGGCTGACCACCCTCACCTTAGTTCAAATGGGGTGGACTCCATTCGTAAACTCTCCAAATCCGCTACAGCAATAAAGTCTCAGTAAGTTGCAGAGCCCGTAGGTAATTTGATCTTACTTCGTTATTCCGATGAACCAATTATGGCGTGATGAAAGCCTGGTATGCCTGTGCTGGGTTCGATCTTGAATGCTGCTGAGCGAATTAATCGTTCGATGACTCTTGCCAGTTTTCTGTACTGTCTCTTACTTCCTCTTCTTCAAGTCCCATCAATCCAAAATCAGAATACTCTACTCCAATAAGGTGGCATAGGAGGCGGAACGCATAGCTGTTTTCGAATTGCCATTCATCTCATAGAAATGCTGTTATTTTTGAAGCATGAACGGAGCAGTCGAAAACAGCGACCTTCGTTGAAGCCTGCCGTTGCCTTTGAAAAAAGTTCAGCGATGTGGCTTTATGTAAGAGTTGTGTTTACAGTGTCAACCTTTGGACTGGACTGACCGTGTTAACATGTAGCGTAAAAGGCAAGGCCTGCGATTCTATGGTAGGAAATCTGGGCTGGTCTTGGCAAAAGCTGTTTTCTGAATTGGAGCTAACCTATCGTTGAGTAGCAAGAAGTGTCAAGTTGACCCATGAAGATTATGAATGGATATACTACATATCACTGGTTACTGGTCGTTTAATAATCCTTGCCGGGCGTATAAGGAAAGCTTTCATTGATACGCAGCAACAGTGCATTGTATTATAAAGTAACATCTGTCGGCCTAATTACTGGTAATTTTTGCTGACTGGTCGCCCGACTTCTGAAAATACAATGTGGTTCACGAAAAACATTGCCTCTGCACAACTGTGCGAAGTAGGGTCTGGGGCGCTCAACAAAAATCACAGTTGTTGCTTTTAGCAGAGAACGTGCGAAGAAACTCTCCAAACTTTATTTGGCTACCCTTTCGAACCCATTCACTGTTTCAGCGGAAACAGAGTCTTTCAGATGGTTATACTTTTCGTGGACAAAGAAAAAAGAGCTAATACTAGAGCGGTACAGTAGAAGGTGGTTGAAATATTAGTGTGACGGCAACTCAAAACTCAAAGTTCTGTATTAAAAAATTATCCGCGCACGAGAAAGCCCACTTGACTGTTATGGGTGCTCCATAAGAAATTGTTGTGAGGCCATTTTCGGTGACCATGTTTTGCGCGTGCAAGCGCGTGTGGACACTAAATAGATTTGAAACATCTCAAGATGGCATTGACTTCTGCGACGAGCGCCGGTGATTGGTCAACACTAGCGAACAGAAGCCATGTACCAATCACAGAAGGGACTTGATTGTGCAGCTGGACACCACCCGAGCTTTTGCTTATTTGATGTAGACCATTGTGCAGCGATTTTATATATGAGTGCTAGTATTCAAAAATTCTTCGGCGAATTAACGTTCCCTCTAATTCGAGCCGATTTCTTTTGTTAATGGCCATTTTATTATTGAGTATTTGTCTTAGCCCCATCAAGACTGAAATGGCTACCATGGATAAGCTACTGCCGATTTTTGAGAAATGCACATTCCTACCGACTAAAAGATTTCAACTTATGCTCTTATGTCAATTACTAAGGATTCTGCAAGCAGATTGTAGCCTACTGAAACTACACGTTCAATCGTGTGAAGCTCGTATGTGTGCCGCTGAACAACAGAAGCCCTGTTTCGCGTGGCCGAGCCAGCCACAAATGTGAAATCAGAATCAACTTTCTATGTGCTTATTTTCTGTTGTTCAATTCATTCTTTTATATTATAGTAGGACACGTGGTATCTGAGGCCAAATGCATGTGATATTTCTCCAAGGCCACTCTACCGGGAGATATTAGGTCTGCAATTACGACAAGTCTCACACCGAAAACAGGGAATGGAGTAGACCCAGCGGACAACAGAGACTGTCGTCAAGACTACCTTCCTGAATAATTGGATTGTATCATTCCTACAGGAGCAATTGTAGTTTTGCTTTGGGTACCAATCTCTTCAGCAACACATAGCGTGAACCTTACATCTACTCCAGTGTTTCGGCACTTACAAAAGAAGACTGAATAGGGCGCGTCTTGAAGCAGGATAATCCTCTTTGATTTTGTCTTCCAATTCTACACTGCATTTCGTTCGGGAAAAAATTCATTCTCTCATCTTAATTTTGTTTGTGAACTTGTGCAATGTCTTCTGACTCTGAAAGATTTCAAACATTGAGCATACTGTCGATTTTCGAGATTTTTTTACCCACGAAACAATGAAAACAATTCTGAAACATATGTTCCCATAGCCTCAATCGACCTATTTTCAGTGAAGATTTTCACACTATTTTCTTATGGAAATTACTAAAACAGCGAAATGAGGCAGTACATAGCAAGGATTAATAAGTAAGTTGTTTTAAGTCTTGATAATGATTCTTCTTTTTTCTTCTTCACAATATTTTGAGCAAACGTGGGTGTAAAGATTTTGATTGTTTTCTGCCATTCATAAAAGCAGAGAAAAGCGATAAGAAAGGAATTTGTTCGAGCAGCTCGTTAATGTGACAACAAATTGACTCGTATTTTGGTTTATGGCGAAAATGGCGCACTGGCAACTAAAGTTCCCGTCCGGTCACAAACGTTGGTTCGATTTTAACGGTAGAATGAGTAGTTTTCCGAACCTAGGGTGATTTGAGAAAGGTGAAGGTGGTAGTTTCAAATGGCGTCACATGTACGATGTACAGGTAAAATTGTGGCTCGAATCTCATCTAGGCATCCCAGGCCATCCATTTCTCTGTTAGCGGTTAAATAGTACCACACTCATTCTCTATCACGGAGAACGAGAAGAGCGAGTGCAGACCACACAACAAAAGTGACGACGGTCATTTTTTCTTTTGGCTTTTTTCTTATTAATCGTCACTTGTGGTGTGTGGTCTGCACTCGACGCTCTCCTCGTTTTAAGAGTCCTATTTTCTTCCTATATTTAGGAGGACCAAAACACTGACTAGAGCATTGATTGACCTAGGCAAATATTTTATAGGCCACTTGCCCACAAATAGCACTACAGTTTTATTGGAAGTAGGTGTAACGCGCAGCGCATACCAGGAATTGAATGATCAACACCAAACGTTTTTTGTCCTTTTATAACGGTCGAACATAATTGCTAGTCTACTATCAAAATATCAATACGGCTAATGGCTAAAGGTGAACCCTATATTTTGTTGTGCAAAGGAATTGTCTTGCCTTAAGTCTGTAAAGACCACGTGGTTGGAATCGGCGAATAGCATTCCTGATCAGTGACGTAGAGGTGGGGTTATTCCGATTCTGATTCCCGTTGCATTCGACGATTATCGATGAGCCAGCAGAAGCACGATGAAAGCGTCAGATCCGCCCTCCTGTTCTGTACAGTCATCGATGGGAGGTGGTTGTTCATTGTCGACGGCGTTGCTGTTAATGGTTGCCTCATTAATTTCCGACTCTTACCTACCTATTCGCTTTTGGGCATTCACGGCGCCTTGCACTGGGACGCCGTCACTTAGGAAATCATCTCTAATCACGTCGTCTACCATCGTCCTCGCCACAACAGTTACTTCATTTGTGTTTGTTTCGTTATCGTTAACAAGTCGAGTTTTGCCGGCATCTTTCTCTTTGAAAACCCCGTTTCCACATTCGTCTATCTAAATTTTATCTACTGGTGCTTTCTCGATCCGGAAAAATCAATGCAATATTGTTTGAGAAACCAGAGTGGATTATAACGCCGTACAGTCGTCGGTGCTTGGCACTGTGTACCAAGCTGAAAAATAGGCACACAGCATAACGAAAGTTTTACTAAACATCAACTGGTAGAGGTCAGTTTTCAGGTATCAAAGTGTTCATGAAATAGGTGCTTATTTATACAAGGTGAGTGTAAAGAAGGAGAAGGGTTGTGCGCGTGTCCGTCATCTGAAGAGATTCTAGTGGAAAATTTTGATTGGAGTGGTAGAAGTGAAGTGAAGTTCAGTAGAAGCCTGTGAAACTCCTAAAATCTTTCCCATTTGGTGGCTAAAATTATCCGATTTTTTTCATGACATTCTCATATCATCACTCCACAAATATGACACCACTTCACAATCTATTCCGCTTCCTTACATCTCTAATAGATGCTAACTTATTTATCAAGAGGGGGGGGGGACACGGGGCGGTTCGACGCTCTACTTGTCTGCAACTCTGAAGCTTATTGTTAATCAGCGGGATCATTACTATTTCGCCCCATCGTTACAGTTTCGAAATACAGGAGCACTGGGGATAAGCATTGCAGAGGAAACCAGACAAAGCGCCATGCCGCCCCTTCCCCCCCCCCCCAAGTAAGTCAGCTCCCTCAGATCATTCAGAGATGCTCATTCAAGGCTTTTTACTCCCTTCCTTACTGAACAGCCCGGAGGAGGGTATTTTTTCCAGTTTGGCTTCTTTCTAAGGGCAGGTACAAAACGGAAGTCGAACTGATTCTTAGATTATTCCCCCCCCCCTAAAAATTTCTAGGTTCTATGTTTTTACTCAAATATAACTATTCTATTCACATTAATTGGCTATGCTTTTGAGTTCAGATAAGATAGAGCTCGAGCCCGCTCTGAATTCCTGAACCCACCCGGTGGCGAACAGCCGATCGACATGACCACGGTAGCCAAGCGTGTACTTCCCTTGCTCTTGTTCAAAAGCGAAAAAGCTTTTGAAGCTTAAAGGCTGTAGAAGGAAGGCTGAAGCGCTTTCCTGAGTTTGTTCTGTATTAGCAAAAACTGATCAAGGATCCCCTAATCCCTACCTCCCAGCACTAATTGGCTATATTACCCTTATCGAGTCAATTGCCGAGGATTCAGTTTTTTCGAAGTCAGCAAGCCCATTGCTTCGATTACGTCCTCACTATGTAGATGCTAATTAGCTCTTGTACTTCGCCGGGTTCGTCGTAGATGTTCTGAATATGGCGTAACGAAGCCGTTGAAGAGAGGCGAGAGGGGAGAGTGGGATTGGGAACAAACACATGTCGCGCGACGGATTAACGCTTGTTGTTCGTCAGCGCCATCATAACGAAGTAACACTTCAATATTCCCATTTGACAGCTCATTCACATGAGCTGGCCATTATAGGCCGGGCTCTTTCAGAAGAACGGTAGAAATGCAAATTCTTAGATTAGCCATGGTGATATTGTCCCCACATAACACGCAACCTCGACACCATACAAGTGCTGGGCGAGCGCAATGCGCCAAAAAGCGCCACCACGCTCAGCGGCCATCACTCAACGCATGATCTGAAATGCATCTGAAGTGATTTGGAGTATATTCTATGATGACGTCAATGAAGTCAGCTGTTGCAGGCTCTCGCTGCTTGGCATCGATCGCCACGCCCTATTTGGCGCATACGGGATGCGGCGCGCGCTGCTTGCGGCCGTCCTCATAGCGACCACCCACGCAGCCGTCTTTACCGGTAAGTTACCTGTTTTCGTTTACTTCATATGAGACCTACTTAACATGCTCTTTAACCTCCCGCACGGTTGAAATGGCTCGGTCTGCCTGTTTCAACGTTATCCGTCATTTGTCATGTGATTGTCTCATTAACGTTCGTTTTCTAGCTATTTCCTTTGCTCTTGTTCCTTTATCAGATCACTTTTTCCCTATGTACGATGAAGTTCTGTTCGAAGCAAGGAGAACTTCCGGTGTCTATCGAGCGGTCCTATCATGCCGGCGGCTAGCATTTCTCGGTGCTAATAATTGTGTTAGCGCCGCTCGTCTTTTCAGCCGCTTCCTTCTTATCATCTTTGAGCACTTGTTTGGAAATTCACACGATAAGACATTGTGATGACGGTGACTTCTATCCGTCCTCCATCACCGCCTGACATCAGATTCCGCTCATTATCCCAGCATCGTTGTGTGCCACATTTGTCACTCAATGATGGGAAGCTCTTTCGATAGAAGCGACGACGACGACTACATCGGCGCTCACATTCTTCACAAGTCACGCTGAGGAGAGCGAGCCCACATATACACACAACAATTCTCACATGTACATATTACAGTAGTGTGTAGTGGAGGATTCAGCAATTCCGGGGGGTAGCCGACTAAGTGAGTGCCCTTGAACGATCACTTCTTTCTCAGTAGTTCTTCAGAATATATCAGACGAAGAAACCTAGAAAACGAAAGCAACATATTTATATTCCTTCTGCGGAGTGTTGTGGTTAATCAAATTGAGCTCCGGTGTGTCTGCTTACTTACTGCTGAAAAACAAAAGCCACGCTAGTTATAACAAGCCCCGGCTGGGACTCAGGATTTCTCCAACCAGAGCCTGATGACGTCCGCGAGTTCTTTCGATCTCTTGGCGCTCTGAATTGCTGAATACATGCATAATTCGTTGGAGACTCTCGTGAGAGAGCGCACCACGTCGACTTGTTCGTCCATACTAATAATTCGGACTCACCTTACTTAGCTCGACCTTTCATCTCGGAGTGAACCAGAAATGTCCGCACTTTTAGTACGTTTTTGGCGTTATTACCAAAACTATAATTTCTATATCAGGCGTCAAACTGCCTAAGCTGGTGACATGTCGTGTTTGAGAACTATGCGAAACTGAAGAGAAACCGCGGAGCATTTACTGAGACTACGAGCCCAGTAACAGCAATATTTGTTCCGGTGCGATTGATGGCTTTTGCTGGCCATTACCGTAATTCGAGGATGTCAAGTTGCTGTTAGCTACGCAAATCAATGACTTAATGAGGGACACACTCGACTTCCGTGTTCGCTGTCTCGGTATATCGCTGATTTAGTCCGGAGGAGATTGACGTGAAACGGGGATTTTATGAAAATTGCTGTTGACTACAGTAATCTCATTATTTACATCACCAACTCTTCACATTGGCTGTGTTTCTTTACAGAAGGTGGCGCGTTGGGAGACGTGGTATACCCTGGAGAGTACGATTACCCAAAATCGAATGCGTTTCTAGATGATTCAGACCCAGAAGAGGGCATTCAGGTATGATGATCTCATTTGAAAAATTCCCTCGTTCATTTTACCTTTCGTTTTGTCAAATATGCGGTCTACTCCAAGGAAACGTGAATAATGCTCTGAAACGTGCACCGTTCACATTTTTGCAATAATACCCGTTTTCTTCCGAAAGGGGAGCGATCCTTTTCCGGCTAACGCGGCCGGACAAAATTCGCACAGTTTCGAGGATGGTCGCTATAACTCAACTTGAGGGCTGCCGTCGACATGGAAACCACCATGAACGATTACTTGAAAGGAGTCGCGGCACAATTTGTGTGGAACTAAACGGCGCAAAAACGTCAGCGAGGCGGGTAGTGCATGAGGAGGGTAACGGAGGGCGGGGGACCGATGGCAGGCAGTACGAAGAAATTTTTAGGTTGAACGCACGGGATGTTGTCGAATAACAGAAAATGAGTCTAGTCTTTGCATGCCGTCGTTCATTTATTGCTTCATAAGGTGGTAGCGAGCAAATATTTACATTCATTAATATATCGCTGGAATTACAAAGATGGGCTCTTTTTTTGAAGAGCAGCCGAGTGGAGCGGAATTGGAAACGACAGGATATTTAGTTTCATTTCAGGAATGGTATCAGAAACAAGACCTTCAAAACAAAAAGCCTAGAGATGTCAGAAACTCTGCGGAGTTAAACGGGGATCTAGCTGAAATCCTTCAAGAACTGACACAGCAGAAAGAACAGCTAAAACAAGAAGACACAGGTGAGTCATTCCTGATAACCTCTCTTATGGCTCAGCTGAAATGTCATGGTTTATTTTTGCCGATATATGTGTCAGTAGTGATGAATAAAGGGGATTAGGGTGGCTGGCAAATGAGTGGTTCAATAAGCCCAATAATATGCACAACTTACACCCATAGCCCATATAAAATGCCTACAAAAATAAATTTAGCGAAATTTTTCGATATGAAATTAGTGACTTTGAGGGACAATCAAGCAGTAGAAGACCAGATTGCGAAAAAAAAGGAAAAAAGAGGATTTGATAAACTGATAACTTTCGGATTCGCTATGCATTAGACACCTATCGATGGTCGTAAGGAAATCACTAAAAATCTGCTAGTCGATCTGCTATGTAGCGCATCATGTATGTGTTGACTTTCTTGCGAAATCGCAGTGTTTTTTGATGAGTATTATTTTATGGGTATCCAGCTGCCGTATAGATTGAATCCTTTATCCTACCAGACAAGTCGGACACCAATGGACTAGTAGTTACCGAAGGCTTGTGTAACCAAAACAGGACTGGGTGTAGGAGGGATTCAGTTCACGGAGCCTGAGATAGAGTACCGCTGTGTCTCCCTCCACTTTCCCCTCTATTTTCTCTATTTTTACCCATATTTCCACTCCAACCTTTTCTAGAGGAATATATACGCACGCTGAAACGGCAAATTTTCCCCCGCGCACTCTCATCTCATTGCATGTAATTTCGTGCTACGGTACGACCCCCCACCACAAACCTCAACAAACAACGATCTCCCCGTTGGTACTAGTTCTAACGTAGGGTTGACCCTGCTCACACATGAAAAGTCTTCGAAAGTCAAAAATTGAAAAGTCGGATTTGAGTCCTCTTAAGTGAGAAAATTGGAAAAATTGTTTGGAAAAAAATTGGAAAAAAATTGATTGGAGAATATTTTTGATCATATGTGTTTTTTCTCTTGCATACAATTGGCAGCATTGAAGACAGAAGCACGGACGGAAGCAAGCAAGTTAAATACTTTGTGCGTCACATACGCTCAAATCTACGGATTATTTCTCGCTTCTGTTCTCAAATAACTCCCAAAGTACCGTGACACGTAGGTTGTTCCATAACAGTGTCGGTAACGTACCCAGTTCCCTGTCAAGAAGCATGCAACCCACGGCCGTATCTGTGAGGAACCTGCAGCTTTGGACCCATTTTGCACCTGTAAGTAAGGAAGCTCGGGAAGGAGAATGATGCACATTATCTAGAACCCAGTTGGATAAGCGAAATTGCTCAAGGGTTAAACTTTCAAAACACGTAGTATGCTTGTTCCACTGTAAATTTCCCTCCCCATTTGGTTGAGCTCACTATGAAACAAGCGAGTTTCAGTAGCGCTTGCGTGTCGGGAGGGTACTTTGTAATTTCGAGGGAGGCCGTATTTCTTGGATGACATGGGAAGAGGATATTTTCGGAACTTCTCGTGAAGTGTGAAAAATTTTGCACTTCTTCAGCTCTTCAAATTTCTTGGCGAAAAAGGCGTAGTGTGTCACGTAGCTCCGATCAACCACTGGGAATGGGGTCGTACATCTGCAAACGGCTACACTTCACAATTGGCCCTGTGCTTTAGGGGTCATGAGTTGATTCCTATCAAAACATTAACTTGGTAACTTTACTGGCTTTCATAACTTACTGCAGAACACCTAGTCATCTTTGTTTCATCTTCAATCCCTCTAATCTGGATAGTGGGCGTCTGCTCCTTACGATCAACAAACTTCATCGCCTTTATCAAGCCAATTTCGAGCAGCACGCTACTGCTTCTTGCCTTGATTCATTCCAAAATAGCTTTCAAAAGTTCTTAACAAGCTGGCGAACACACAATCATAGGCAACTCGGCTGGGACAGTGAACATTATCAAGCACGTTATTAGTTTGTATTTCACACAAGAATTGTATTTCACACAAAAAATCGAAATTACAGTGAACTATTTTCTTAAAGAATGTTTCCGGCACTAGGGCATTTTGGTGGGAGAAGGACCTTGTTACTCTCAAAGGCAAGGCTAGCCCTGGGATAAAACCGGTGATAAAGCGCTTCGTAATGATGACTGAGCTGTGGGACGGCCTGAAAGGAACGTTAGAGAAATCTCTGGGATCTTTGAAGTTAAGGGTTTACCCTTCAAAAAGGTCGAATGTGGAACGATGGTGAGACAGGGCGGTCAGAGAAGAAGAAACACGCGAGTGATCACCCCGTACGAGAGAGCATGTCGATATCGAGGTGGCTGGGAAGCGTTGCAACGGAGGTCGATGGTTGCAGGCCCGTAAGGATTAGCGCCCTTACCACTAAACTCTTGCGGCGAAGGTGAAGTGATCTAGGTAGGTAGGGGCCTTACAATTTTCCTCGCATTATCCTTCGCACGAGTCGGGCTGCACCCGGGGTTTAGCTTTAATGAAAACTTTGTTGGAAGCATGGTAAGAGACACAGCATCACTGAAATTAGGCTGTGATGACTGATTCATCTTGATAGGTTCATATAAGCGGCTTCAAACAGTTCCAGTTCATCGCGCATCCATGAACTCTGATGATTTCAGCGGTTCCTTCCGAAGTCGAGATCGAACTGCAAAATACAAAAGAACAGCCAAACGAGACGGGGAAGGTGACCGGAACAGAGAAAGCGGAGCCTCAGCCCGATGTCGTGGAGAAGCAACCCCTGGTGGCTCAGAAAAAAGGACCAGAACGAGTTCGTGTCATTTGTCGAACCTGTCGAATCCAAGCAAACTCAGTGAGTTCGGCAAGGCACTGCCACAGGCAATTTTCTTTCCTTTTTTTCTATTTTATTGATGCGCTCGACGATAGAAACTGACTGAACTATTTCGCTGAGATAGTCGGTTGTATCGTGCAGTTATGGAAAGACTAGCGACGGAATCGAGCGCAAACAGAGCAATATCACGTAAAGTTAGAAACAGGTGAAATATAGTTGGTAATTTTCAGATCAATTGCCACCATGGAGAAGCGTCGTCTCGCTGGCTCCTCTGAATTCTCAAACTCTCTGCCTACTTACAGCAGTAACCTTCTGATGATTGGTGAGTGAACAAAAAATAATTATACACTGTTATGAATCGTTTTTGGCTTACGCCACATCCTCGATTTTCATTCGAAAACGTGATGGAATTCAAACGCATGCATCTGCTGTGCAATTAATTATGGGAGAGCCGATATTTGTCATTGCACACTACGTCAGCAGCTAATGCTCTCAGACTGATGTGGTACTAATATGGCAAACCTGTAGAAAAAGGCTTACTATTCTAGTAGACTTGGAGCTGAAATTGGATTTGCGGACCGTACCAGTGGTACCAGCTTCCCAGGACCGGTTGTCACTTATACTTTGCGAAATGATTTTCTCTGGTCCCTACATATATCCTCGAGGCTGTTTTGTGCGCATAATGCGATATCTTCACTCATAGCGCTACGTCCTTGTTGTGCAAAAGCTTGTCTAATTCTTTACTACATTCTGTGGATTATTAAAGGTCATGTTACAAAGACTTACGATCCAATCTGTATCTGCAATGAAATTAACACGCCCCATCCAAGGTCAACCGTGCGTTCTCACTATTCGAAGGAGGGGGTCGCGTTTGTGGTTTTGGAAAGGGTGGGGGGTCGCATTCAGGGGATGAATGGGATAGTAACTGGGTCATTTGTTGAGGATGTGGAGGTGATTTAGATCAGTTAGGTAGGAAAAAAGAAAATTTCGCTAATATTGCGATATTGCGCTAGTATACCCCATACACCAACCTCCCATCCCCAAGCCATTTTGGAGCAAAAGTGGGCGGAGTTCGGCTGTGTGGACTGGTCTCAGAATCACAGAATCAAATCCTACAGAAACAGCCATGATGGCGAGGTTCGTGGTCGGGGTAGGGAGAAGGGTGGCAGTATTATGGAAGCCTCCTGAGTCTCGTGGTGGTGGGGCGTTCCATCGAGACCCCACTAAAGGACGGCGGCCGCGAAATTTGTGAAAAAGTGCGAGCTCACGGTTGCATCTTCCATCTACCATTGCAGCTAGTGAAGCGAAGTCACGCATTCAAACAATGCGGGAGATTGCTTGAATCCTTGCCTTTTGTCAATAGTTTGTTCGATTCCTTGTTCAGTTATTACTGTCTGTTTTTCGCATTCGTCTCTTTTCTGTTTGAGCAATTTATCGGGGCACATAAGGAGCCTTTAGTGGTTTTGTCTGTTTTGATATATTTAATTAAGTATCTGTTGTTTTTCATTAGTCGCAAGCAGTCGTGCTCGTATCAGCTCGAATCTAGATGAGTCCGGACTCGGCTCACTCAGCCGCGGGGAAATAATAAATCCGATTTCCGTTGCGTTTAGCAGCTAGGACAAAACAGGATTTATTTCTTGGAAATCAGAATTAGCTCCTTCTCCTTTTCCGGGGTTTGCTTGCCTTAATCCATCTGGAGTCTAAGGACTTCCTTACTAGATCGTGATGACACTTACATATAGAAGCGAACGTCGATGTCCTTAACATAATAATATTAATAACCACTTCTCTTCATTTCTAATGTACTTATGAGGCTGGCAGTAATGTCAGTGTGTTAGTAAAGAAGCAACGAACTTTTGTGTTACGAAGCGCGATGAAATGGAAGGAGAAGGCAGTTCATTTAAAAGTTTGGCTAGCTCGTAAACGCAGGGCGTCGAGCTCGTCTTCATCAAGGGCTCCGATTCTCGGCCTCATTCTATCCTTATCCAGAAACAATCGAATACCATTTCCTTCTTCATTTCTTTAATTTCAATGTCCTCTGTCGTCATCACTAATAAAATGTGAAATGTTTTCATTGGGGAAAAAAGAATTTTGAAGTTACAACTTTTTATCGCCATTCCACTGTTTTCCTATCAGTAGTACTCAACATTCAAGCTGAATGACTAATAAAATCTTATTGGCTTTTTACAGCGTAGGTCGTGTTGATTGCTTGTTAATATAACTCAATTGACTGACCAAGCATAGAAAACTTGTGGAGGGAGTGCCTCGTTTGCATTTGCATTGTTACCACAGCTTCAACTTTGTTAGAATACCTGCAGCAAAGCTGGCCACATCATGGTCAAAAAATAGGAACGTGAACAAGCTTGGTTCCCGAGAACTTCAGTCATGAGGTATTTTTTAGGGGACGAGGTTTTGTATTCTGTGACTAGATGAGTGTAGGATATCTAATGAGGACTTGTTCCGTTGATCTGAAAAAACGTCAAATATGGCACATTTTGAGGCGAACCACTCAAGAAAATTGGCTTAGAAACGAGCAAAGTCAACAGCAGCACGCCATTGTGAGAGGGGTTTTGTTCATAAGCTAAAAGAGAGCTTCAGTTAAGGGTATGCTTCGTAGGCCATAGTCGACTGTGCGCTCTCGACGTCACACTTCATGAATAGAGCCAATGGCGCTCGATGAAGCGGACGGCTTCTTTGACACGCACTTTCGAAACAAGATAGGAAAAAGGATTTTGGGTCACATTGTGCCAAATGACAAGATGTTATTTATTTCGTAGAAAGTCCCGTATGCACTCCCGACTGAAGGCAAATGCATGCCGACAGAACCATTTTGATATTCCCCCATTGACGAAACTCATTCGACGAAAAATGCCGCAAATCAAGTTATCTATGCGTAATATCCGATATTGCGCTATGCTCTACATGCTTTTTTTGCATAGGCACGAGAGTGCCTAGCGAGCTAATTGTCGAGTCAAGCATCAGCGCTAGAGCCTCCGACGATGACGACGACGCCGTCGGAGGCTCGACGGTGTTTATAGCGGGCATGTCAAAGAAGAGCGGGACTTTGCTGTATTCGGGGACGCCTAGCTTTTCATCATTGCCATAGCACCACTTCAATGCATGCTTCAGCACTGCATACGTGATCGATACTATAGGAAGTGTTGGCTACTGTAGTAACACGTTGGAATAGTTAGAAAAACGTCCATTCCTGTAGAATAGTGAAAAGTTACCTTTAAACGTAAGAAGACTTGTATTCGATGGTTTCCAACCTCAGTAGTGGAGCAATCACCCTCCGAAAAATAATCCAACCCGAATCTCTCAGCTAGGTCATTTCACCGCGATAACTTCGGGGAAGACGAAGTGGTGTATGAACCTGCTCGAGACATTAAGTATCTCAATCAAACAGGGCAGAAGTGGTGTTGTGACAAGTGGCGCGCTCACACGCGAGCGGTCCGGGGATGAATCCTGGGTCGTGAGTCGCTCGGGCCAACCAAGCCTTTCATCCCTCCGGGGTCGATTAATTGGTACCAGACTTGTCTGGGAGATAAAAAACACTGACTTGTACATCGGCTGGTCCCCGCAAGTCGTTGTATAGGCTACATCGCATTCAAACGCCACTACGAATGTACAAATGGAAGTAGAATGCGTGCCGCATCCCAAAAAGGGATTGATCACCGACCAGTGCTTTATTCTTTATCCTCTATCTCAATCAAAACTGTTGTTTAAAACTCTTGATTTATGGTTACGATTTCAGCCGTAGGCACTGTACTCATCGTAGGAATGGTGGCGTCAGTCGTTGGTGGAGGCTACTATATCAAGTTGGTATTTTCGCTTCTTTCTATCACATTCTCTGAATTGATTTGCCTCCTCCTTTTTTTGTTCGTAAGTGGGCGTGGTCATAGGACAAATTCACATCATTAAGCATGCGAGCACATGCATGCTTGTGAGGCTCTTTCGAGACACGGAATTCGACGCTTGAGGGCAAGTATTGACTGACTTGTGTGTGTGTGTTCTTACGGCTTGCCATCGAGTGGCCATTATGCCTGAGCGATTATTTGACGGGTTTTCTTAGTTCCTTTTCATCCGTCCACTGAAAAAAAGAACTATAGTTTGGAAGAAAACCCCGTCACGGCGTTTTCAAAGTTTTCTTTTCAGGAGACGGCGCAGCTCTCCGGATGACAGCGAATATGCACCGTACGCAGGAACTGGACCAGGTTTCAAAAAGAATAAGGTTAGATTGTTAGAGTTCACGAGCCCTTTCTAAAAGGGAATATGTACGACAAAAGATCCGCTATTCCTATAACCGTGTAGGCCACTCCTATTACGGTAACCATAATCGTTTGAGGATCTGACAGAATTGGGAGGGGGAGGGGGTGCACAGAATAATATCTTCGACATCGTGCTACTAAATGGCGATTATTTAATCCATTTATATAGATATTTTTGAATAATACTAAAGTAAAACGGCGATTGTGTCTTCCGTAGTTTTCAAATGAAATAATACTAAAGTAAAACGGCGATTGTGTCTTCCGTAGTTTTCAAAGAATGCACATTCGTCCAAGATCCTGAATATTACTGTTCTGCATCCGTTTTTGGAACCTTTCTAGTACGAGGGAAGGGCAGTTTGGTGTACATAGTGCACTCAATACATAGTATACGACCATGACATATATTTCTTCTTGCATAAAGGCTCAGAAAAAAGTAATACTTATTTGGTCATCAATTGTGATATCGTTTGGTTAAAGGAATTAGTTCAAACACCCTGGACTTCTTCACTTCCCTAAGCTATGGCCTAGGGCGAATTGTGGTGTAGTTGCAAGTGGCACGCTTACCACGCGCAAGTCCGGGAATCGAATCTTGGGTCGTGCTTCGCCTAGGCCAACCAAGCTTACCATCCCTCCGGGGTCGCTTAATTGGTAACAGACTTGTCTGGGTGGATAAAAATACTGACCTGTACATCGGCTGGTCCCGCAACTCATTGTATAGGCCACGTCGCATTCAAACGCCACTACGAATGTATAAATGGAAGTAGAATGCGTGCTGTTCCGCAAAAAGGATTGATCAACGGCCAAAGCTTTATCCTCATTTTTTATTTAAGCTTTGGCGTAAATCATTTCTTGACACAGAGTCATTTCTTTGCACCACGCATCACCAAATGACGTTCAGCGAAAAAGTGGTGAAGCAACAAAGCGTGTAGATTTCTTATTGAAGCTTCGGGCAAAAACGACAATGCCGTACACGAACTATTGTACCAAAATGTCTCCTTACTGAAGAA